AAAAGGTGGAGAAGGCCAAAAGAGATGCCAAATATGCAGGACGAAATCCTTTATTTGTGCTCTCAAATCGCGGTAATTTTCCATGTGAAAAACAAAGAAACTTTACCGCGAAAAAAGCTCACACCGCTCTGTCACAAACTGACTTGGGTCCAACAATGGCGGTATTTTCAGTAACAATCGGCGGGCGATTAAGCTGGAGTGTTGTGTACAGCAATAAAGCTGTCCACAAGAAACACGCAACAGCATTGTCAGAATATTTTCTTGAAGCCATTATCAAACTGGGATGTCAGTTTGAAGCATAAAACAGACAGCGTGACACCGAAATAGTCTTCTCGCAGATCCGTTTTGTACTGATCAAAACTAATGAAAGGTGTTGAATAAGGCGATCACAATCGATAAAAAGTACCATTTGATCGTGTTAGATAAAAACACCCATTAAATAGAGTAGCTTTTAATACAACAAAAAAAACTATACAACAATCAAAATATGGGCTCTCTGTGCTACGGTATACTACTGTAGTCATTGAAGTCACTACTTTCTATATACTATYTACTATATCTGTAATGCCTTCTCTTTCGGGGGTTGACAATTGTCATTCAAATYCATTTTAAATTACAATACGTTTTATATAAATGACAATACCATGTTCTCAAGAACAGAAGGTATTATGAAGAATGTGAAAGAAGAGAACAAGATTCGCTATATCGACGTCAAACTGAATCCCACGTCTTATACTATAATAATCACAAATAAAAAGCTGCATGGATTTGCTATGTATTACAAGTACATAAATGGTTGGTTTGTTTATATATACTTATAAACGTAGTAGGTGTAGTGTGTACCGACTCCAGAGTAGCAATCCTTAGCAACGGACGTCCCGTATTTATCGTATGTCTCAAATGCTTTTGGACCCGACCAACACTCTCCGTAAAACTTCACACCAAACACTTTGTAAGTTGGATTGCGGTGTTTAACCAGTCGTGCGCATGCGTCTACTGTAGACTTCATGTTTGTCCACTTGATCTTATTGCGCATGCTCCCGAGGTAGACTGGWACTGCATGGGGATAACTGTCGCGATAGCAACCAAGTGGCTTGTAAGGTGGTGTTTTCCCGTTGTCAACCTCYGGACTAACTGAAAAGAAATGGTGCAATATATCAATACCTATAGTTCACTTTATAACAGGTTTAGGAAAAACAACGATAAGAGACTCTGGAAAAATGACTAGATCAACAGAACAAGGGAATATCTAACTGGATTAAGAACTACTAGAAATCTGTTTGTTTATCCTACTGTTTAATACTATTGAGTAAATATTGGGGCAAAATCTTGCAGTGTTAACTTGCTTTAATAGTAATAATCATAATAATGAAAAATTTATATAGAGCGGATTTCGTATGAGTGGGACACCGTTACCGCACGGTTACCGCACAGTTACCGGACCTGGCCTGCACAATTTTGGTGAACCAATGGAGCACTAGAATTTGGTTGCAGCACGATTACGGTTACAGTACAGTACCGTCCATTTCCCACTCATACGAAATCCGCTCTAGCACAAGTATCAGATTACAATAAAACTTTTAGAAAAAAGTAACAATGTAGCAATAATTATAGCATTAACTTCAATACTTATCAGACCATGAAATACTTTTAAAATAGAAAAAAAACTGTGTGCCAGTCTTTACACGATAACATTCCTTTTGCAGCAGTTAAATTATATTTTRATAGTCATAATGAAGACTTACTAGGACACAGGACATCATCGTTACATGATTCTTGAGTYGTTGGGCGTGGAGCATGACGACACATATGAGGTACCAATGACATGTAAACACCATGTTCGTTAAGACGTCTACATGACAATCCTCGCGAGATAACTCCACCTGCACACGTCTTGGAACACTGAAAATGTTACCAATAATCGGTAGTTACTAAATATAACGAATCGTTAATATTTCGCTGAGTTTTATAYTGTCTTACCTTTCCCCAGCCAAGCGGTGTCCATTCGGGTTTACAAGCAATTTGGTTGCATGACTGTGATAAAGGACTTGGCTTTTTCCCTCGACATAAACCATCATCAACAGTCTTGTATATCAGCTGAGTGACTCTCTGACGACATATAACTCGTCGTGTTTGCGTTCCCTTGCCGCAGGTTTTAGAGCAAGGTCTCCAGGATGAAACAAACCACCTATAGTTTACAAAGAAAAATATACAGTTTTATATTTGCTACTATTTTTTTACCGTCTATTCTTGTCTCCTATAGTCGAACCATATTGCCTTTTTCTCCTGCTACCAGACCATTTCCTTCCCTCTTTCTCCCTTTCRCATTTTTCTTTCTGGCTATGGCTATGGTTCATCTCCAAWCTCACTACAAATTGCTGTGCTAACTTCTGAAGTTGTTCTCCGTCTAAATACTRACTCAGKTTTGCATGGTGAGGTYTTGCAAGGTCGGGTCTTCTCTGGCTTCTTTTCCTTCTTCTCGCACACTTTATCGTTCATGAATGTTTTGTCGTCTTGTCGTTTGCATTCCACTGTACGCTTTTGCACACCTTAACCATACACAAAATATTAGCACAACATAAAATATTCTTTTAAATGCAAAATCTTCCACAACGATGGAACAAAAGTGTTCGTGGTCAACCTACCTCCAGCGCATGACTGTGAGCATGCGCTCCACGATGAATACTTCCAGTGTACTTGGTCAGCGGTGACAACCGATTTTCCAGGTCCATAATATTGGTAATTAACTCCCTTGTTTGGGTGACCAAAGTAGATGAACTAGCAATACACATTAAATGAGAGCTTAAAAACCATTTATAAACATACACAGGCACGTAGAACCAGGTAATAGACTCAATGGGACTCACGTTGTATGAATTACAGTCAACTCTCTCGTACGCGACCAGCTCGGGATCATTTAAAAGTGGTCGCTTACGAGAGATGGTCGAACGAATCTGTATCAATCTCGAGCCCAGAGTCTCAGTGGTATGCATTGACGTCCGCTGGATGGCAAAAGTGCGTGCTCTGGGTACGGGATTGAATCTGCATTTGATAATAATAACCTGTTTTATATAGTTATCAAGAATAACCGTTTCTTCTTACCGTAAATCGTAATGGCTGATTTATTGGGCCTTTGACATAAAGCCATTCTTTATCCGCCATTTGTTCGCTATGGTATCTGATGCTTGTGCCTGCAGCTTTGACCGTCTTGCTGTACGATGGAAGTRGGATGAGATATTGACCCTTGGAATCTTGCACCCCTTAGATTTGTAAAAAAAAAAGTATCATAACTTTGTTGTCGTGGGACAGTAGTATAAAACAATTATCAACAACGCAAAGGGAAAATTTGGTGTGTCTACTACTACTCAAGGGRGGAGGGGTTGGTAAACAAACACTGAAGAAATGCCGTTACAAATGGTAAAGATAGGCAGAGACATATTTTTGCATCTAGCTTGAAATAGCTGTCATTATTTACCGGATGCAACCCATATTCCTCCATGATTTACCATGACATTGATATTTGTTACTGTGTCCAAGAAATTACTAACCTATTAGATTATAATCTTTGTTTTTCTCGTGCACATAGATGTGAGTGGCCCCTTTTGGAGCTGTAAACATGATGCCAGAAGCTTTGATTCCTGAGATAAAGTTTCAATGTGATCATCAGTAATCATCACAATAATCGCTATTGAGAAACACTGATTAAGCTCTCTGTAAAAGACGCATACAAAAAAGCTGGCGATCTGCATTACAGAACAAACCATACAATCCGTTATAGTTTCAGTGCAATTGAACTAGACGCCAGCATGGAAAGGTAGACAAGAAAGATCCAAAATAGGATGTATAAAGGTTTTATATGCTTATGTCGCGGGATTAGGTGCAGAGTTGCGGCAAGCAAGGTCTACTCGGCTAACAAAGTTGTGAAAACCCTTGATAGTACACTGAAGACACCGCACATAAGAACAAGTGGATTAAGAAAATGATTTGTGGCGTACCATTCGGTACCATTAAAGAAGAACTCAATCAGCCTGACTTCCACAAATGGGGGTTCCCTTATATGCAGGGATTTACTGTATAACTATGCACTTACCCCAAGAGCGATAATCCTTGGTGTACGTTCCCCTTACAAGTGCACACTTGGTACTATCACCATTGCATTGTCCACATCGATCAAACGAGACTCCTGATTCAAGAACATTATCACATCCAACTTTCTATATACAAACGATAGATATAAAAGAGAATGAATTGATTATACGTTCAGTTGTAGTTGCAATCGATATTGCTTCACCCATCCGATATCAATTTGAGGTAGCACCTACCCGACATTTTCCCTGTATACAGATATCCTTAATGTTAGGATCGTCACTACATCTTGTACCATCTCTTAAAATCCCATTCGTGTAAACTGCAGATCCTCGTCTACATTTCAGATCACATGGAGCTGAAAGGAAAGATGATTATTAGTTTTAGGACCAGGAAGATAGAGTGTAAGGAAAGATGATTATTAGTTTTAGGACCAGGAAGATAGAGTGTCAGTCTAGCTAATCGTCTAGCTTGGTTAGAGTCAGCCTACAAAAGTTAGACCTAAATCTTATCAGTCTGGCTGAGGATGCTACATGATGGTCATATCAATGTGTTAAGAAAAAAATCATCACCATCATTATCACCATCATCATTATGATCATCATCATCAACAACACGAAAATCTATATGTAAGTGCTGTATGCATACCGCTTGAGCTGATAAAGCCTTTGTAGCTTTGGTCATATTTACTTGCACACTGTTCGTCTCGGTAAGACTTTGCATCACTAGGGCATTCCTTTTAGAATAATAAGATTTGTGATAGATTGGTGAAATTTGGTCGATGGATTTTTTTAAATATTCATCATTTATTCTTCTGCCGTTCGGACGATAATTTGGTAATTTTTTGATTGACTGATTGGTTGATTGATTGATCGATCGATTGATGTATTGATTGACATTTTGAGTYATTGATTGACTGATTGATCAATTGATGTATTGTCTGATTTACTGATTGATCTATTGATTGATGGATTGACTGATTGATTGATCTATGTTGTACGTACATGAGGGTTACAGATTCTATACGAGTTTGCTAACATCTCGGGACCTTCACATTTCATTCCTCCACCACTTGGCCTGCAAAAATAGAATTTTAGACCCAAAACAAGAAAACAAGGTCAGAGAGTAGACACGAGCGATAGAAGGACAACAACAACAAGAAGTTACTAATGAGAACGATCAAAACGAAATGGAAAAGGAATTTAACAGGATAAAATAGAAAGGGTAAGATGGGTCAAATTAAAACAAAGTGTATAGTTGTAAAAGCAGAACAATGAAAAAAGGACACAGAAAAGAAAGAGAATAAATAGACAAGTCTCAAATAAATACGTTAATAGGACTCTGAAAACTAGAGAAAAAGAGGTGAAAAGGTGATACAAATGAAAAATCTRATTTCATACGCTGGGTTGGTACACGTCCTTTCCTTCCATTGAACYCCACCACSACAAGTATGTGTACACGGGGTATACTTCCAGCTACTCCACCCACCATCGACCATTGATGTACCATCATCAACGCACACTCCTTTGATACACCACTGACATGAATAACATTAAAAAGAATTGATTATGTAGTAATTATAGACTTTTTTTCTGACGCTATAAATTGTTATTCAAGCGAAATCTAGGGATAGATAACTTTATCCAACCTTTTAACAACCTGTGAATTATAGTACCGAGTTAGCCTCCTCCCAAGGCAACTCTTTTTTCCTCCTTTGGGCTTCCTTTGTAACGGTCATCTTGCCCTCCAGGGACTCAGTGACTCCCAAAAAGGACAGGAAGCCCGTGYTTCTTAGTGATGTCTGCTGAGGAGGTTAGCACCGAGTGTTTACAACAATTCCCACTTATACGATTAGCAATCTTAGGTTGATACGCAATATTCATAAATCGCCGAAAACCGAATTTTATTTTTAAGTCTCACGCGCTCATCAAGTCCTTTTGTTATACTTCATGACTCTTAAGGAGTTGATATCATATTTAGAAAAC